AGAGTAGTGTTTGCATGTGTGTGTGTGTGTCTGTGCGTCTGTGTGTGTGTGTGGGTGTGTATGTGTATGTGTGTTTTAGTTTATATAATCTAGGTAATACAAATGAAGGAAAATTTATAATTGTGAATCTTATGACTAACTAGAAAAGGATGGTCTTGGGTAATTTGGCTTTAGGATAAACAAATAAGCGAACGTTTTAGAGCAAGAAGCACAGCATTGATCAGAAAATACAGAGATTTCAGTTCATATTATTACACTGAGTCTTATACACAAATGAAACAACTTATGGGGTTCTTTTTCTTTTAATGACAATTTCTGCTTATCTTGTCAAAAAAAAGCCAAAAACCTATTTACACCTATTTTCAAATTGTGTGAAGGTCAATTTTAGCAATAATTTGGTAAATTCCCAGATGCCTTTAAAATAGCAAAAGTGACACCTGTTTATAAGAAAGGACCTAAAGATGAAGCAGGAAATTATAGACCTATTTCAGTATTACCTGTTCTTGGGAAGGTTTTTGAAAAAATTGTAAATAATAGGCTTCTTGACTTTCTTGAAAAAAATCATGTATTATATGAGCACCAGTATGGCTTCCGTAAAAAATACAGTACAAAATTGTCAATGATAAATTTAGTTAACACTTTGAGGAATTCAATGGATGAGGGAAGAATCACACTTGGGATATTTGTAGACTTTAAGAAAGCATTTGATACAATTAATCATGATATTTTATACAGCAAACTTTCACACTATGGAATACGAGGAATAGCATTACAGTGGTTTAAGGACTATTTTATAGAAGATTTCAATTTGTACAGTACGGAAATGTAACATCTCCCATGCTGCCTTTAACATGTGGTGTACCGCAAGGCTCTGTCCTAGGCCCAACGCTTTTCCTACTTTATATTAATGATATGCCATTTGCTACACGTTACTTTAACTTTCGACTCTTTGCGGATGACTCAAACTTATTCCATACATTTCCTGAAGGGCAAAAAGAAATTGATATGACTGAAGTGAACACAAATCTTCAAATTGTTTCAGACTGGTGTAATGCTAATAAACTGACAATTAATTTACAAAAGACGAGTTATATGCTAATAAGAAACCAGAGACGGCAGATTAATGTTCAAGGGCAACTGGCTATATCAGAAGCTGAAATAATAGAAGTTGATTCTTCGCTCTTTGTTGGGATAAAGATTGATAAACACTTGACTTGGAAACCCCACATACAAATGGTTAATAAATGCATCAGACAAAAAGTAGGAATCCTCTTCCGCTTACGGCATTTTGTGCCTAGAAATATCCTAGTGTTGTTGTATAAAACCTTTATTCAACCTCATATATCATACGGAATTGAAGTGTGGGGGAGCACTTACAAGTCTCACTTAAATTGCATACTGTATACACAGAAGATGGCCATACGGACAATCACATTTAGCCATTTTATGAGTCGTTCAGCACCATTGTTTTACGAATTGAAAATCTTAGATATTAACAAGTTCTATGAGTTGTCTCTATGTACATTTATGTATGACCTAGTACATAATAATTTACCTCACTGTTTGACGGATTATTGTGATAAAATTGAGCATAGATACAATACAAGAAAAAGAGAAAAGGGCCATCTACGTATACCACTGTATAAAACAACACAAGGCAAATTTTCAGTAACTTGTGTAGGAACCCGATTATGGAATGAACTTCCCGATGAAATCAAAAACAAAGGGTCTAGAAACACTTTTCGTAAACATCTCAACGATTACTTGATGAATAAGTGATTGAATTATGCAAGTGCACATGTATATATTGTAAATAATCTCCATATTACATTTTTGTTGTTTTTTTTTTTGTCAAAAAAATGCAATTTTTTGTATAAATAATCTGTAGATACATGTATCTATGACTTTTTAACCTGGTATATCCTCTTCATAATTATATTTGGAGTGTAGAAATTGTGCTACGGTATTACTCAACATGTATACTTCTACTGTCAAGTTTTATTTTTTGATAATGATATATTTATTTTTGCCAAGTGTGTGCTAAGAACAGGGGCCAGACTCGACTAGCACATGTGCTATTATTTGGCTCCTTTTCATCACCTTCTATATTCTATGAGAAAAGACATATGTCTAGCATATCAATACTTTGTTAGGTTTTTCTTTAATATGATCTATAATATTCATTTATGAACATGTACCATTCACGATGTATTCAAATGTTTAATCACTGATGTTATTGATGATGAATAAATAAAATCAAATCAAAAAATTAAGGGATATTGGGTGGAAAGATATACTTCTAGGAGTATCGGGTAACTGAATAAAATCAATTGTTTTAATACTACAATAATTTTGTTGAAATATAAAATTTTCAAATCAAGTGCAGAACGTTATTTACTTCTTGTGTCGAAATACAAACACAACTACGGAATTCATAGAAAAGGAAAAGAACTCACAATCAAGGTAAGCAGTTTGTCCTTGCATTTTGAAAAGTGGGAAAATTGATAAGTTAAAATGAATGTGAGCAGGTAACCTTGATGTGCGTTTCGTGGTTGTTAGTATGTGTGTGTGTGTGTTTGTGTGTGTGTGTGTGTGTGTGTTGGGGGCGGGGTGGGGGTCTGTAGGGGTGTGTGAGGGTGTTCTTGTGTGTGAGTGTATGTAATTGTGGTGTGTAAACGTGTGTGAGTGTGCATGTGTACGTGAGAGTGAGTTGCAGAGGGTAGTGTTTTTGTTTGGGGTTGGGTAGTGGGGGAAGGGGCTATAATCATTTATATTTTATAGCTGATTTCATCTTTATTTCGTATCCATCATAATTTACGAAATGTATATGTATTATTTTATTAATTTTGCCATTATGATGAACAAGAAATGTACTTTTGAAAAATTATTTGCATTGTTTTGATATTGAATGAAATGAGGATTGCGGAAAAAAGTATGTGTGTGTGAGAGAAAGAGAGAGAGAGGTGGTTCGGAAATTTCATATGTAAGAACACGAAATTAAAGGATATCTTCACTAAACGCCCTAAACTTTAACTTGGCAAAAGTCGACTTAGTTAAGTCTTGTTTATCTGCACTTCTCCGCTATTCCAAATTTTGTTATTCACTTCTTCGCATTCGAGGTGTGAACACGTTCCTTAAAACATTAAATAACTCATGGGTAAACAAGACATATTATCATTATCATTATTATTATTATTACTATTATTATCATTATACCTATTATTTGATATTGATAATATTATAATCGTTATGATTACAATTAAAAAAGGCCACATGAGTAAAAGTATATTCATTAGTTTTTCACTAATACATATTTGATTTTCAAGTCAACCTTGATGCGTATAGTCCTTTTGTACACGCCATCTACGGCCATCTACGCAAAGAATGGGAAATTTTAATAAATAACTACATATGCAGAGAAATCAGAGAAGCAGATTAATGAAAATTTGAATGAAATCGGACAAAAAATGAAAAAGCTATGACTTTTTAAAACTTGGATGAAAAAAATTGTGACGAAATTTCGGGCAAATTTTCCCTTTTTTACAACACAAAATTACTAAACTATATATTTCTTTACTTGTTATGACTCCGGGGATGGGTCTTTCCTCATTTAAGAAAATTTAAAGTTATTTGCGTACCAACATATATTTTGAAACCTTCCCCTAGGGAGAAGGCAAACAACCAAAATTAATGATATATAGGCGTACGCAGGGGGGGGGGGGTAAGGTCAACTTTTTAAGGTCAGCCATGGGCATAATTTTAAAAAAAAATCAAAAGGGGAGGGGGGGTTTAGGGGGGTTTTAGGGGGGTTTTAGGGGGGTTTACACACATAAAAATACCAAGGGGGGGTTCAACCTCCAACCCCACCCCCCCCCCCCTGCGTACGCGCCTGGATATTAGTAAAAATGACAAACGGGAAAGCGGGAGAGCTGTCCATGCAATCAGTGGCGTACACAGGATTTTTTTCAAGGGGGGGGGGGGGTTTCCAAAATAACATACATAAAACATACACATAAACAAAACTCGAGGGGGGGGGGTTAACCCCAAAACCACCCCCTGCGTACACACCTGCATGCAATGGATACTTCACAATACAGTGACTCATTATCAATTTGCGATTCGCATATATTAAGTCACCTCCTATTTCAAACACTTACTTTCTTCTTATTGGTCAAACTTTCCCCTTTCTGTTTCTCTAATTTGTCAACTTCATAAAAATGAAATTATTGTAAGGATTGGGTTGACGCAGGGGACGGGATAAATTTCCGTTGCGGAAATGATAAAGGCCCCAAATCAGGACTTCATTGGATGAGAACACATTAGTTTTAAAGCTAAGTCAAACTAAATGTGCGACCAGTTTCCAGCTTTTGACAAACACTGGTCGGGAGTTATTTATCATAGGTCGCAAAGAGGTTTTTGGTAGTCTTCAAAAGGTCCTCAGTGGTCTGCGATTGATCTCCTTCGCATTTTGGTAGGCTGAAGATTTACACCGCTGCATCCAAAACCTTTTGCGGAAAAAAACTGGTTGTTCAAAGGTTTTCGTGGTTTTCAAAGGGTAAGAGACAGTTTTCACATTAACTGGCGATTTATTTTCGACTGATCATTAGTGATTGACGACTTTTTCAGAGAAACATTTTGTTTAAAAGTGAAGGCGGATGATCGACTAGTATTTAGCTGAAATAATGTAATGGTGAGCTTCGATAACATGTAAACAGAGCAATGATTTTCATCTTAACTGTTTAGCAAATGAAAATAATGCCGAACGAACGTGATGTTTAATTTCACTCTTTTCTAAGAAAGACAATGGAAAAAGGTTTATTCATTTAGAAAATACATACCAAGCATCTTTTTTTCTCATTTTTACATCTTTCACACAGTTCGATTTGCTACTAGGGTTTCAATCCGGCTGAATTAAGATTAGCTTGGATTAACCGTTCGAAAATTCATTATAAACCTCCCAATAATGACCCCCAAATGACCAAGATTAAAATACAACAGTATGAGAATTATAACAATGTTCTTTAATAACTCTAAAGTTACATAAGTCTATGAAGTGAAACTATGATTGAATGAAATGTACAAGTCATGTGAAATCATGAAGAATCGTTGACAATACGTACACAAAGTGAAAATTGTTAATAACTGCGAATGAACCATTGACAACGATAACATTTACATTGATATTCAGTTATTCTTGAACACGTCATATTAAAAGTAAGCCCTTAGATGATAAATTTACGAGCCTCTTAGCTCTCCTATGATCAAAGCCACAATGTTGGCTTTGTTATACAGGCTGCTATGTTATTATAATAGTAGTCGCATCTAAAGAAAAGGTGCTAAATACTACGTTTCTAAGCGCCTTGCATTGTAATAATCATTACCCCGGTCGTTTGATTTGATTTCTAATCCACACATGATAGAGCTAGTGCTCCGCTCTCTGGGGAGTTAACACCTGGGTGGAGAGTGGCATTATAGCCGCGGTGGAATTCGAACCCCGAACGATATGATCCACAGTCCGGTGGCGTATGCACTTGACCACGACACCTCTACGAAATGTGAACAAATTTGCAAGAAATATCTTCATACTACAGGTACTGTCAGGTTTCCATTATTCAGGTAAATATAATTCATAGACTAAAGGTAAAGTAATTGAAGACCCTTTATATTGACAAGGTTTCTAAAGCACAATTTCTATACTACGCTCCTCCCAATAATAAAGCAAGCTTCATCGTCTTATTTCAATAAAATCGTCAAAATTATCAGACATAATATTAAAAGTGTGAAACTACTGTTAAAACACATATGAAAGGCAAGAACTTTAAAAGAGGGCTACATTCATTATATCAATTACTTCAGCGCAAGAATAGCAAAGAAACCCATACACAAATACTACATGCTACGCTCTGAACTTGACATCAGTTAAATGTTGTGTTGTTGTAAACCTAGTCTCAATAGCAAATAAAGTGATTAGATAATATGTGATTTATTATGTCTTTAGTACTAAAAACGTAGTAGTGTTAATTACAATATTTCTACAAACTTGCTGACAAAATAATTTTGCTAGTATTAAGATATATGTATCCAAATATGCGTCGTAAAATCCTTTTTAAAAGAAATCTACGATTCAAACCAGAGCTTTGAAATCTTCCCTGTTTCTATATAACTGTACTTGAATTGAATATTATCGTTGGAAAACCTGTTTACTTTTTTGTAATCCTTCGATATGTACTTATTAAGATTTGTTTGTCTGTTTGTTGTTTATCTTTACACATACTATTGCTTTCTCACTATGTACTCTGTATACCACTTGGATACAAATTAATGACAAATATATTATTTTAGTCACTGGTTCCTTTAATTCATTATTTCCTTTCTTTAAGTATTGTCTCGTTTACCTATTTACCCCGCTTTATGCTCAGGATGGTCTTCTCTTCATTGTAAAAACTGCACATCCTGATATATACATATTAGGAGATTGAGATGTAAACTAATTTGCCACTATGTACCTATGCATCATATATCTTTTAGTATAAAAATGACTATAACAAAGAGATTATGAATATTGAAAGTTACTCGATAAAGTTTAGCCTATTACTACTCTTGTCCGCCTCCATCTTGTTTTCCTCTACACAGCAGATAGTCCTATAACCGACGAACTAACACCTTACGATCCGACTGAGAATGCATTTTAAACTGTTGACATTTCTTCTTAAAAGACAATGATTAATCAATAGTGAGGTCCCGAAACTAAGAAGGAGAAATAGCCAGCTTCGCTACCAGTCGGTGAATGGTCGGGCGAATGGCAAGATTCCACTACGATTCGAAGCCAATCGGTCCTTTCTCCCACTAAGATGCTTTACATTATCCCACACTGTCAATATCCACTTCAATGTAATCTAATCCAAGTGTCCTTGCAGTTACAATGTGCTGCACACGTTACTCCACATGTTTGTGCTACCTTATGATATATTAATAAAATAGTTACTTGTGCAATTCATTGTTCTCTAGCAATATAAATAGTTTTCTTCACATAATAATTAATTATCTCAGTCAGAATTTATGTACCAGTTAACATGTTCATATCGTATATGTAATTAATATTTTAAAAAAATCATTTAAATGTAATTTAACAATCAAACCGTAGTCGGATTGTAAGGTGTGCGATGCGTGTGCGACTATCTGGAGTGGTTATTTGTTGCGTTGTTTAGGCCTGAGCCTTGCCAGCCTTGATTGACTTCACCTCGCGTGCAAGCTGACACTGTGCGCACGGCTGCAGGATTGTAGACAAACAACAATCGCTCAGGATAGAACCCTGTCACGAAACAATCAAGGAAACAAAAAGGAACATGTCAAGCTTCATGACTTAATACTGTTGGTCAAGTCCAAGATATTAGGTCGTTTGGTGTCCCCTTTTGAATCTGCTCTAAAGGAGTTATTGCCTTTAAAATGATAACATATTAAAGAGAGAAGGACTTGCCCTTGTGATTCCGCCGATCTACCTTTATCTTTCTTCCACCTCGACAAGTCACATGTACACATCTGTATGTTACTACATAGTTCTTATGGTTGCACAATTATTATGGGTGTCCTCAGTTGGGTGTCCTCAGTTGGGTATCGGGCTAGATGAGTACACATACGCACATCACCCCATACCATACACACACACATACGCACACACGCAAACACGCAGACACACATCCCCCATTCTAGCCTAACTTTGCAAAATAATTAGATAGACGGGTACAGATACAAATGCTAAACTATGGTCAGTTTAATCCTTGAGTAGGTGCATCTGATGCACACAAGGTTTCGGCTAATTTCGCTCTAAGTACAGAATACATTATTTGATTTATTTTCTCGTCAATTAACTTTAAAAGAAGTTTGGAAAATTAAACCCAAAACAAGCGAAACAATATCATCATTACATTACTTCAACAAATCCTCAAGTAAGTGGGTACATGGGCAAACCGTCAGTATGTATCTACTAAATTCGTGCTGTTTATCAATTTCCTAACATTCGAGCATAAAAAACGCATCAACGGGTTTTTGTTTGTTGTAAACAGAAGACTCAATGTAGAGGATGGGGTGTTGTTGGGGAGTGTGGGTGCAGGGGTGGAGAGGGGGAGGGGGCTACGCATGTGATGATGAGCAGGTCCGGGGGATAAAATGGATATGGTGTGTGTGCATATGGGGTGGTGGTAGACAAGATAAATCCAAACGCATGTTATTTTTAATTAATAAAATAAAGTAGTGTTTGAATAGGGATTTTAAGTACACTTCTCCCCCTAAAAGAATAGATAAATGAACAAATAAAAATAAAACTTTGAAAATACCTGGATGTTATGGCGTCCTCTTATCTGGGTCCTCATAGTGATGAGTGAGTTAGGTACACAGCAAGGTACGCAACAGTTCTCCCCCATATCAGTAGCAATACAGCACTGGTGACAAGGGCCCAGGAATAAGCCACAAAGACCTGTAACGGTGAAGAATATTGATTGTCATGGTAATGCTTGAGTGATCTACACAGCAAGATACGCATAGATTCTCCCCTATCCCCAGCAACGGTGACATGTACCAAGGAACCAGCTTCTATAGTATACATGTAATGATACAGAATATTTAAGAAAAGCAGAACAAATAAATCGGGTAAAACTCTAACCAGAAGAAAAAAGGAGACCTCATTATTGTCAGAATCGAAATTGGGCATAACCAAGGTATCATAGCCCATGTAGTTATTGACTTTTTTTGAAATTTACCTGCATATCAGACATATTATGTCAACCAACGTCGATCATATTTTATGTTACGATTCATCATAATTGTGATACATGTCCTCTGCTATGTTTAATTTGGCGCTTTATATCAAAAGGCCTAGGCACTTCCGTTTTCCTTAACCCATAAAGCCCCAATAAACATGTACGAAGTTCACGATGTCATATAGGTTAAGACCGACATTTCAATGAAATACTTACAGATAGGAATATCCTCAAAGCAGGAGCAGATGCCAGTGTTCCAGTCACGTGGGTTGCCACGTGGCATCAGTGGATTGGACACCATGCTTGTCACCTGATAATTTGAAGTGGGAAAATAAATGAACCAAACGAATACATTACGCAAAAACTACACAAAAAAAACAACAAAAAACACTGTTGTGATTATATTTAGGATACATAAAAGAGCAAAATTTGTAGGAAGATGATGATTTCCTAACCATTAAACAAGTTATCAGTAGCCAATATAATCCCCTATTTTTATTACTTTCCTGTCCATCAGATACACTCCGATAGATGTGTATAGTGGTATATAATTGTTATTTAAAAATGTGCTTTCAGACCACTAAATTATATAATTTAATGAACTGGTAATTTTCATACCTTTCAATAAATAAAAACAACAGTAAACTGTACGTTAGAACGGTCTGTATTGTCATTCTCTTGTGGACATTATAAATGTACCCTTTTCATCAGAACTGACTTAAAATGGAGTTAGGAATAAAGTAGATGACAGTGTCGACGTAAATAAATAATAAGTGATCTGGTATATACCTGGACTACTGTAGAGCCTGGCTGGGTGATCACCACCTCACGGGTCTCACATTTCTCTGTAGAAATGAAGGCAGAACAAAAGAGAAAGAGGAGACAGAGAAAGAGAGAGAGAGAGAGAGAGAGAGAGAGGTGGAAAGCAGTGAAAGAGAGAGAATATACAGATAGTGAAATAGAGATAGAGGGTGGATTAAAGATCCAAAGAAAATATTTGACAGAAGGGTGGGTCAGAAAAGATGACATTCGGATAAAAAAAGAGACTTATTATTCATTGATCACAAATTTTTGAAAAATTATCATTTTTTCATGAATTGATTATTCATGTAAGATTGATTAGCACTGAACCAACAATCCAGGGTTCAAATCATCTGTGATTGACAGTTAGCTACAATGCTTCTTGACTTGATAATTGTTTGCATAATGTGGAAGCTACTTCCCATGTAACCACATTAACAATTGAGGTTATTCTAGGCATTGAAGGGAATATTAATGTTTGAATGAGTAATGAGGGCACGAGAAGCACATGAAAAATGCGAATTTTACATTGTATAAATGATTTCAAAAGATAATTGGCAAGGTTCGTACAATGGGATTAAAAAAAACAACATAATGTACATATTCAAATGTTTTCATAATTATAGTATAATTGGTGCTAGCACAATATTTTTCTTGATTAATTAACAACAGATAACCAGTAGGCTTTAGTAAATACTCCGTTATGAATGTTGGCTTAAATCAAGCTGCGTTGCCTGTAAAGCTTTTCTACTTCATCATGTAAATATTTATAGCTCTTTGAATCTTATTATTAAGTTCAGCAATATTAATGACACTAGTCTACCAAGTATTGTTTGTCCCCAACCGCAATTTTTTTAAACCCGTATTTATTTGTATACGATGTGTGTATATATTTTGTTCATTTCTTTTGGGGGCAGGAAACCTTAATGTTTTATTCTGTGATTTGCAGGCAAGTGCTGACTATGATTGATGTGTATTAGTGTGTCTCGATCAACATGATAGATATCATAAACATCATGAATAGAATTGAATAATAATAAAAGTAATAAGGTACTATTTACCCAGGGTTGCAATAACAGTATTAATACTGATCTTCCTGTGGGACCTGTATTTACCATTTCCCAATCAATTACTTGATATCCATTTACACCTGGGTGGAAAGTGGCAAATTTAATGTCTTCCCAAGGGAAATAAGCACAGGGCAGGGATTCGAACCCTCAACGATTTCTTCACAATACCACGGCACCGCCACATGCAGAAAGGAATTTTCGTTCATGCTCAAATTAAATTCATCTTATACCTTTTTCTATTATTAATATTTTTGTTTGTTGCTAGAACAAACTTAGGCGCCATGTAAAAGGAAAACTTAATTCCTGTGTCTAGTCGCTTTAACATTTATTCGTATTTCGTGATATCAAAAATTAGAATTCTTGAAATCTAGAAATCACTTTTCTTGATAGCAAAAACTTCCCTTTGTTATAAACAGAAAATTAATTGTTGATATCAAGAATTCTATTTTTTTAAATCACATAAAAGGATTCAATTTTAAAACGGCCTGCTATACGTTCCACATGTGTCATTGTTATTGCAACGTGTTACAACCAATCAATTGAAGGACCTTTGTGCACATTTTCTTTTATGTATCAGATCAAATTTAGCACATGCCGATACCGATCTCCACATTTTTCATTAAATTTGATTGAAGTCTAAGTAAGACAAACTAGTATTTGTTAAGCCCCATCTATTTACTAAAGAGGATAATTTTTTAGGTAAATCAATGCAACTTATTTAAACATGTTATCGGAATAGCTAGGACTGGGGGATATAGGTCAGGCACAAACGAAATAAATGAAAAAAGTAGTGTAATTAAAAGAAATCCTTAAAAATCCCAGACAACAAATTTCTGTGTAATTTTTGTGAACGTTTTTATTTCGATTAACATTTCAAACTTGCGATACCATAGAGAGAGAGAGGGAGAGAGATTGAGAGAGAGAGAGATTGAGAGAAAGAGAGAAAGAGAGAGAGAGAGAGAAAGAGAGAAAGAAAGAAAGAGAGAGAGAGAGAGTGTGTGTGGTACGACTCTAAAAATTACAGACTGAGTATACGGAAATCTTTTGATTCATAGTTTACCGAACCGAATGAAAATTAAATAACCCTGAGTGATTGTTGCATTATAGAGGTACTCATTGAACGGCTGCTTACTGTCTGGGTTTACTCACACATGAAACGCATACAAAGCCTATTATACTTTTGGCTGAGTAAATTTGAATTCCAGTTTCTAGTCCAGATCTTTTCAAAAGGAGGATCAGGCAAGGGGTCCCCATGCTATTTCATATTTGATTTATTTTCCTCCTGTTTAGGGAAACGCTATCGGGTCAATTTCAACACAAATGTTGTTAATTCAAGTTTCTATGTTTTGTTTGCATTTCAGACACGTCAAAGGTTTATATCACGGCGAAGTTGCATCAAATTTAAGATTTCCGTCATACCCACGGTAGAAATGTTCTCAAATTGTTATTATTTCTTTTAGAACAAAAATATAAAATGGCAAAAAGAGAATGGATGCGGGCCGGATGAGAAAAAGGAGGAAGGAACGAGAAACAAGAAATTATGTTTGTTTGGACTAGTTGCCAAACAGACCACCGTATTTATACACTGACAGAAACATCCAGGGACTTTAGCTGAATCTATAAATTGAGGGCAAATAAAAAAAAACATAATACAACCACACAGACACGTATCAAAATAACAAAGAATTGAAATACAATAAGTTTCATGAATGTATTGGAATAAATGCACCCCCGAAAGACTTACCGAATGAATGGGTTTAAAGCAGAAAGACGGGAAGGACAACAGTGGAAAACATGACACCAAGTAGAAAGGCAATGGGATGGGTTTAGCGTTGAGGGATTAAGTATGATTAGGGACCAGAGAAAGAGAGTGAGAGATCGGAGAGAGCGATTGAGAGAGCGAGAGAGAGAGAGAGAGAGAGAGAGAGGGGGGGATAGATAGAGAGAGAGGGAGAGAGGGGGAGAGAGAGAGAGGGGAGGGGGAGATAGAGAGAGAGAGGGGGAGAGAGAGAGGGGATGAGAGAGACCATTGAAAGAGGACGTGACAGGATTGAGAAGGGTATTCCAATGTAATAGAAGAATGAGTGGGAGAGAGAGGGAGAGAAAGAGAGGGGGGGGGGGAGAGGAAGAGGTATTCGTTAATAAAGGGATGTGACCACAAGAGGGAGGAAAAACGTAAAAGCGTGAGCGATTGAAGGTGAGATAGAGAGAGAGATAGAGGAATGGAGTGGGGAAGAGAGAAAGAGATTGAAGGAGAAATAGAGAGAGATAGAGGAATTGAGGGAGGGAGGGACAGAGAGAGGGACCATGTATAGAGGACGTATGACAGAGAAAAGGATTTGAAAGTAATAGAGAATAGCAATGAGTGAGTGGATGAGTGAGAGAGAGAGAGAGAGAGGGAGAGAGAGAGTACATTGACGGTGACGTGACAGGAACAAGAAGGTCATTCCAATGTAATACAAAATATGAATGAGTGGGTGTGTGTGTGTGTGAAAGAGAGAGAGAGAGAGAGAGGGGGAGAGAGAGAGAGCGAGAAATAGCAGAGAAAGAGAGAGACACTGAACTGTGTAAGTATATAGGGAGTGGTAAAATTACTTTTGTCCCCTGTCATTCTTTGTCCCTGCCTTCCATCTTTAGAATCTTTTGAATCCTGTAGAAGGAGTTTCATTCAATTTCTACCGTACCGGTTTCATTGTGATCTATGTGATAACCCAATATTTGCACAAATTTGCTTTCGATTCTGCAAACAGATGTATGATTGAATATTAACATTGAGGAAATATTACTCCCAGACAAACTAATGGGTCTGTGGCATTGAAGATACTACTGAGTTATATTATTTTCGAATCTTCTCGGGGCCCCTTAAATAGAATTGTAGAAATTAAGCATACTTCTCCTTGTTGGCGCAGTGGAAAACAAAGGAGAAAAAATTCGGTAGTCCTTGGTTTGATTTATATCTTAGTTTCCTAAAAAATGTTTTAAATAATAACACTTGATGAATATCTTAAAATGAACTCTTCCACTACTTGTTCCCAACTTTATATTATCTGTTACATATCGAGCATCTAAAGATAAAATCTCTCCGCCTCCCTTGACTAATGAGGGTTATCAAAGTGTCGAATAAATATAGGTGTATAATATAATACATGGATGTAAATGTCTCAGTTTTAAAGAATAACAAATACGAATAAATCTGTGGTAAAACTTCTCTGAGAAGCAAAACAACATCGCTTGAATAAGAAAATAATTGGGATGCTTTGGTTGGTCATAGTAATGAATAAAATAATTCACATTATAATGCACGACGGGATAAAGAATAAAAACCATGGAAAAAGATAAAAAGATAACAAACAAATACAAAAGATAAAACTATTATGTTTCACCGTCCTCCTCCCACCCTCTTGGATCGGCGGAAACACCGTTAGATAATGGGCCTGGATAAAATATTTAAACCAGTCCTTTTTTTTTACTTACTATCGGAGATTTTCAAAGAGAAAACGCGCTTCCGAAATCTGAAAAAAATTCTTTTCTTGTGTATATTGGTTTTGATGTTTTTTTTGTTGTCTTTCTTAATTTGCTTGTCAGAGGTATTTTAGACTTGTCACGGACTAAAGATGGTCAATGGACTGCCCGAAACAGTGCTCCCAGAGAAAGAAATTAGTACTGTCGGTAAGATACCCACTTTAAAACAATCATCGATCCATGCCTTCTAACAATCATGCATTTATTTTTTTTCTTTGCTTTTATTGCTGCTGTATAGTATTGAAATATTATTTTGAAATGAAGCACATGTTATTAAGAAGGGTTGCGTGACCTTGTATGTCTGTGATCGTGACATTTCCATCTTCATTACATTATGATATTCAATCGATCTGTCGACGGGTTTGGATCAATATCAACCTAACCGCTCTCCACACAAGGCTACACACAACACAGTGTTACGCGTGGATAGAGTAATGGCTAATTTTCTCCCTTTTCCGCCCCTTTGGCTTACAAATCTATCTCTCGTTATTTTATTCATATTTCTATTTCTATTTCTAATCCGTTATCCCTTACTTTTCTGTTGCTATCCGTGCTTATTTTAATTATGATATATGCATTCGTATTATGATATTTATCATGTTGATTTAGTATGTATCACATACTTTGGTTTTTTCGGCCAGTGGAGATTAATTTCCTGTTTAAAAGGCAATAGTTATGGCTCAATAAATAACCTGAATCTGAAATGAGTTGGGAAAATGTTCCAGACTTTTCACTGTGTAGAATTGCTTTGTTCTTTATCTAACCCATGTACTACTGAATTCCTATATTCCCCATATGTTTAATACAGAAACTACCATGTTCCAGTAGGAAAAGGGTTAAATACTGAGAGAAACGATGTAACACTGTGAGACTATGGTGTTTATCATAGTAGAAACCACATTATGACGCCTTGCCCAATTTGGAACACTGTGGTAGGGTTAATGGTCATAACATAATGTGTTACATATACCGTGTGACTAAATGTATCTTACTGTGGCAACAGAGAGTATTAATAACACTGCATTATATGAATGTCATTATTCCATAACCAAATTATTCCACAGCTACAAGAAATTGACAATGATATACAATACAAGGTTACCATAGTACATCGTTTTTAAAATGCAATTAAAGGAGATTTTTCTAATATACGCACATTATGGCCACATTTTCTCAGTGTCAATGAACTTAGCACACTGTGTACACAATATGGCAATAGAGTGTATATTTAGCATTGTAAAATCATTACGTGCATATTTAGCATTGTGAAATCATTACACGCACAGTCAATACATTGTTTAGCCACTAAACTAAATTATCGAACTCAGCCACATGTACCAGTAAATTTTGTTTTAATCATTATTTTTACTGGTAAAAATACTGGTAGAGGTGTTATGTTATGTTATGTTATGTCTAGTGGATAAGTCACCTGACTGCAGATCACAAGGTACGGGGTTGGAGTCCCTCCGCGGCATTAGTGTCCTTTGGCAAGACGTTAACATATACATTTGCAAACTCTCCGCCCATGTGTTACCCGGTAGGATGCGAAAGTCAATGTAGTTAGTTGAGCAATTGTGCGCTTGTAAAAATGACACATGGCTGGAATGCTCCCCAGGGAGTGGAGAGAATGCGCATACATTGTGTGCGGATAAGCCTGACCAGGGTACTAACATATCTGTAGAGCGCTTAAACACGTCGTTGATGACAAAGCGCTATATATGATAGCCAAATATTATTATTATAGTAAATCGCAACATAATAATTTCCCATGAAATAATCATTTCCAATAGTAAAATGGTACTTACCGTATTGCGTCGACATTGTGCAGATCTAAATGACTGAAATATATAAAAATAGAAACAAAGGAATAATGTGAAATGGTTAGCAAATGTTTCACTTCATTGAAGACAGTATTGATGTGTATTTTTTTCTAAATAACAGGCCTACTACGAACGATATAAAAAAAAATCAACAACTACAAGTTTCTGTCAAGAAAAAATATATAAATCTCTAATAAAATATGATTACCAAAAATTATAAAAGCAACCGTTTTAAAACAAAATATATGTACAACACAATCTCGACAACAATAATAAATTAGACGGTGGCATCAACTACAATAATGATAACATCAACAGCAAGAACAACAACAAGAAACACAGCCACAAAGGAAACATAGATTTTATTGAACACAGTATTAAGCTGAAATCGAAAAAGGGAAGGAACACCTGCTCATGTAAGGTGAATATGGCATTGAGATCCGCTAGCTTCTGTGAGTTGCATGGAGAGAAAAATTGTATTTGCTTAAACTGTGATTTCTAAAGATATTGTTTATCAAACCATGTGGACCGAATCCATTCTATTTGTTGGAATTTTGAAAAGATTCGTACAGCCTATTGTGAGAGGCAAAGTATTATTGACATATGGTCGTAGATCATCGAAGCGGCTGATCATGTGCAAACTCTATACACCTTCCTGACATAATGCGTAACTCTATAAGACATGTTCTGATAATTAATATTGTAGCGTACTTCTTTAAGGGACTTGGTAACATTGTCCAGATGAGAGAAAATGGTTCTAAGGTAGTGACGTCAATGCTAGATGTACAATTAAAGATAATCTGAAAGTTACACATGACGCCTTCAAATAAAACCATTAGTATCTTTGTGACTCACTAATTTGTTAAAGGAATGTTTGCATGTTAGAGGTTAATGCAGTAAAATTAATATAATAAGTAACATTTCATTACAAAAATAGACAATTTTTTCATCATCCTTCAACAATGTTTACCGGTTCACTTCCATGAATAATTCTTGGTAGTATGTTATCAGTTACATTTTGTGTCGAGGTCAATATTTCTATTACTATTATATTGTGTACATGTTCACAAAAATGTTATGTTATGTACTTTTTATATCGCTGAAATGTAATTGGATTTGTATGTTGCAGAAGAAAATAAAGTCAATTCAAATTCAATACCATACCGCAAATAATATTTCCCTGAAAACAGTCTAATCAACGTGATAAAAGAAACCAGCAGAAGAACCTGAAAATGAGTTGTATCATTCCTACATGCAAACAATAGGGGTGATTCGATTGAAGGTTTCGGTATAACCAAACGGTTTAAAGGCAGGAGGAAATGTTCGTAACATCAAAATCAATGAATGAAGACTTAAAACCTTCTGTGCGGCACACAAAACCGTCTGACGTCTTTTTTATAACAGCAATTGTGCATGGCTGAATGAACCCTGTAAAAGCTGAAAACTCTACTTAATTGTATGATATGAAATAATCCTTGAGATATAAGGAGATCAAACAGTGTTCCGTAAAGCCTCTGACCTGGAAAGAAAGAAGGAGCACCAATAAACGTATATAAAGAAAGATAGACCAATACCCCCCCCCCCGCCCCACCCTCACCATGTCAGACAATATTAAGCGTCATACTGTAAGTACAAATTTGCCGCCATCCCGCTAAACTGCGTGTTAATTCTAACACACGCGTTTCAACTGTATGTCCGTGTACTGGTACGTATGATGCTTTCGTGTTGAGACACATAGACACCCAAAATAATAGTCTGGATCCCCCTACCCCCCCATTTCCAAACTTGATTGGATAACTTGCTTAGCCCATGGTTTCCATCGCCGCAAACAGATCCCCCAATATTTTAATCCAGACTTGTTCACAAATCAGCACGTGAAGCCCAGCACTGGATCAAAATGTCTCAGTTTAATTCCGTTTTTAAAACTGCTATAAAAGAATGAATCTTTAGTGCAGCTTCTGTAAGAAAAAAAAATCGTTTAAAATGAAGAAGAAAAAAAATCATAGGAAAATGCTTCGGTTTTTAAATGAATGAATGAAATGATTCACACTATATTCAGATCGGGGTAGGGGATGAAAACTATGGAAACTAAAGATAAATAATTCACAAAAGAAATAACAAAACAAGAAGTATATATTATGTTCTACTGCTTAATACCCATTCCGTCCCTGACGCTTTCCCAAATGAGCGTGTGAAGCCATGCATAATTATGTAGCCTTGTATTTCATTGTCAGTGGCACTTTAAGCAGCGGTATAGATCGAGGTGACATTTTTTTCTCAAATTTGTTTCCATCTGAGCATTTCGCTGCTTTCATCCATTAAGACGATTAGATATAAAATGGTTCCATTAACCTGCCTGGAATCGAACCCTGGATAATCAGCGAACGAGTCAACCGGGGAGCTCAAAACCAATCAACTTTCAAACATAATATATTGGCTACTTTGATGACTTGTTGAGAATATTATGCATTAGCTTAATCATCTAGCCCGATACCAATTAGATTGCCATCTCTTTATCTATAAAACTCGACACTCGCCATGTTGCACTAATTGTTGCGCACGAGATAGCAGACATTATAAGTAGGTTTGATTAAAACAACGTTATGGGCAGACGGTAGAGGCAGGACAACCGTAAATTCGAAACTCGGTGAAATAAAATTGATGACAAAAAAACACCATCAAACACACCCCACCCCTTAAAAAAAACCCAGAGGAACGAGGCTGTATTTTATCATTATGGATTGCACCCTCCAATGTTCCATTTTTTTAAAACTTATGTATAGATGGAAATTATCATGCATGTGTGGGTGCGTACAAACCAATGCAATATTTCATACACAAACTCAAAATGAAATTAATATACAACTGGTGTTGTGGTAATTGTTTATAGTTTTGTGGTATAATGGTTGATTAACTTGACTCTCAGTCCAAGAAATGAAGGTTCGAATCTCTATCTAACACTAACGTCCTGTGGGAAGATGTTAATCCATATTTTCCACAACCGGACACCAATAAGGAGTGCGTATGAGTAAAAGATAAAGAGAGAGTGTGCGTGTGTGTGTGTGTGTGTGTGAGAGAGAGAGAGATAGAGAGAGAAAGAAACACACACACACACGCGGACATACATACTAAGACAGGGTTGAGTGGAGAGAAATTATGAGTCATCTTGAAGTTTATACGTGGTAATAAAATTAAGAGAAGCCAATAAAAGGTTTTCATTGACTGTGAGACTGTAAATAATCTGGTAATTTTCTTGTCACTATGGTTACACAAAGATACTAGGTTTTTGCTTTGAATTTCTTTCTTGAAAATCCTCATAAAGATTAAGAAATTTAAGTTAAAATCATTATTGAAAATTTGTCCAGTTCCAATCACTACTTTAAACGCAGAGTTGCATCAATTTCGAAACTATGTAATGCTATGAAGTGATAATGTATACGTCAATTGTATAATAAGCGGCTGAATTTAAGACCATATGAGTAAAATATTTCCATCACACCATGTGAATAATACATGAGATCTCTAAGAGTAGCACTACATATAATTTATGCCATCATTAATACACAAATCCGTATACACGCATTAGCTATCCAGAAACAATGACAAACAATATTCTATCTTTTAGATATGTGTGTCGATCCGTTTATAATTTGTCCACATTATATTATCATCATTTCATTTTCTAATACACGTTTAAAATATATTTTGATGTCCATATTTGCCAGACTACCCTCTTGTAAAGAAGAAACTATGTAATCTTTGCTGTTTTCTCTTTTCTCATGTACACCGAAGTGGATCCGAAATAGAAACTTGACAATACTGACAGGAAAAAGAAACAAAATAAAACAAAGGGGCAAAGGGAAATTGCACTTCCCTTGTTGTTGCATGTTGACAACAATTTATCATTATCGTTATATGCTTCAGCAATACTCTCTAAAGTAACTGACCAAACACTTTAAACGGTTATCCCTTTTAATGAATTAAAATACAATTTTAATAATTACAGCGCACGCTCTCTTCTCCATTTACCAGCATGCTAGACAATTACATGCAATCCTTTACTAATCCAATTGCATTGAATCACATATCCTCTAATAGGTTATCCTCTTTTACATCTGGGTAGAGAGACCATCAAAATGTCCACTTTGCTTTCAAACGTTAGTGGCGCGTCGGAACGTCAACCCAAGACCTTTAAATGCAGAAGCAAGGGATCAAACCTATCACTATCACACTCCGAATAAGTCCTTCACATTTCTTCAATTCAATTCACAATGACCAGTCTATATGCATACGCCCTTGTTTTTTCTCATTTTCGAATGACCTCCAAAGAAATGTATTCCTGGTTTGCCATGGAAACGAGATTGAATCAATGATATGAATCATAACTAGGACTTCGATTTATTTTATCAACTTGGTCTATCAGTATCACTGTTCTAGCTCAAAACTGGTCATTTAATTCCATGTTTCTCATTTGACAATGAGTTTGGACATAAACTTAAAGGTACAAATAGTAGGCATTTATTGAAAATAAAGTGCTCTTAAATGGACAAAGAAAACGTGGCATTTGTAATGTATAACATGAATAACAAGCATCCGTTTTGTTTCCTTTTACTTTTTAAATGATATTGACATCATTATTGTTGTGCTTATTAAGATGATCGCGTATATAAGGAGTTGACAGGCGATTCTCATTGAGAGCAACATTCTTAAATTATTCATCAAAGTCATGCAAATTGACTACTCGGCATGATGTTCTCGAGAGTTTGGAGGCGGATTAACGGGAAGGGGCATGTGCCCACTTTTTCTTTTTCATTTCCCACATATAACATGTGTAATACGGGTAGTATATCTCACAAGCGCTTAGAGATATCGTAAATGTAATAAGCGCTATATAAAAGCGGCAGATTAAGGATAGTGCGCCTCTTAGCCTTCATCTACATCTTCGACTGCCCAGAGAACCACGCTAGTTTTCTGACTTTGAGATTCGAATTAAATGAAAATATCAATTCTAATGCCGTAGGAACATCTTTCAATATATATTCTCCCATAATTTTCTCACGCGGATCAATATCTTTACTAAAAAGAAAGCGATAAAACAATTTTCCCCTGGCTCTCCCCATTACTGTCCATATATTTTGAAATGTATGAACCGCGTGCCACGCCCAGTACGTTCATACAACGCTACCATCCACCACTTCAAAACTACGTCTGTATACATTCACAACATACATTTCAAGTGACACACAACAAGTGGTAATCTTCTTTACAAAACTTGTTCAAGATTAAAATTAAATTATCAGGAAATAAATGCATTTGAAATGCAAAAAGGAACCACTCACCAATCGCTAAGTGCAGACAGAAACCTGTAGATCCAAACTATAAACACGACGATACAGTATTATACGACACACGAGTTGCACCAGCCAGGGACGTCAGTGTGCAGTTCGCCGAGCCGTTAATACCAAAGCAGTAGAAGATTGCGATCTCTCTCCCTCCCTCCCTCCTCTCTCTCTCTCTCTCTCTCTCTCTCTCTCTCTTTCATGGTTTTTTTTTTCAATGTCGAACCTCGCTTTCGTTTTGTTCTCTGCTTTCACAATGGAACGCACCTCCGCTTTTTTAGCTAGTCTAGGTCACAGATGCAGTTTGAATGCGTTTTCCCCATATACACTGTGCTACCAACCTTAAAAAAATGTCAACATCAAAAGGAAATGGAGAACGATGAGAGCGAGAGAGAGAGGGAGAGATAATAAGAGAGAAAAAGAGAGAGATAGAGAGAGAGAGAGAGAGAGAGAGATTGGGGGCATGAGAGCGAGAGAGGGGGAGAGATAATAAGAGATAAAGAGAGAGAGAAAGAAAGATAGAGAGATAGACAGACAGAGAGAGAGAGAGAGAGCATGAGAGCGAGAGCATGAGAGCGAGAGAGAAGGAGAGATAATGATATATATATATATATATATATATATATATATATATATATATATAAAGAGAGATAGAGAGAGAGAGCCCGCAAGAGAGCTAGAGAGAGAGAGAAAGAGGGGAGAGATATTGAGATAGGGAGAGGGAGAGAGAGAAGGAGAGATAGAAAGAGAGAATGAGAATTCTCCGCATTTATCCCCAAGTAAACCTTTATTTACAAAAAAATAAAATGTTACTTATCCATGAATTGATAACTTTGGCTACTGCAATATTCATGTTCAAACTTCTCCAAAATATGATTCCTGAAGTTTTTGATAGTCATTTCACTTTAAATTGTTCTGTCCATGATTATAATACCAGGAATGCCCTAAATATTTATTCCCCATTTAATCGTATCTCAATAACTCAATCTTCCATCTTCTATAACGGCTCAGTTTTATGGAATAGCCTTCCTATATCAATTAAAATAGTAAGGCAATCAACCAATTTAAACCACTATATGAGCTATTCCTTTTTAAAATAATTATACTTATGATGTGAATTGTATGCAATAGTTCTTCCTTCTTTTTCTCTATTTTTCTTTATCTTCCATTTTGGTGTAATCTTTATTTTTTGTAAATTATGTGTTGTTAAGTTATTGTTAGTTTGTATATTTGGTTAGGGCGACCTTGAACAAGACATTTATGTATTTTTTATCGTCCTCGCACTTCAGATATCTCATTTTACATGTTTGTATTGAAGATGGTATAATTTTGTTGTTATCTTGACGTGGAAATAAATAAATAAATAATATGAAATGAATAGAATATTAAATATACATGTATAGAAATCACTTATACATTCTAAGTGAAAGAATAGTATAACTTCGTTTCAATACTAGTATAGAGATCTCACTTCTCACTTTACCATAGACCTAACATAGATAATCGCATTCATTCCACATCAACATCAATGTGGAAAGGTGCCAGAAGAAATGGTTCAAAAATACAATTGAAGCATTTTAGGAGACTATCTAGAATAACTGGCCATATTCATCAAGCAAACGAGAATTTGAATAGATTGGGAAAAGGACGCTGACATGAATAGAAATGAAATGTATTGTTCACGTATTTTGATTTTCTCAAAGAGAAAAAATAATGGCATTTATATAGTATTAAAGTGGGTGCGCTTATCCCAGGGTCGTCTCTCTCTCTCTCTCTCTGTCTGACCGTCTATTTTTCTCTCTGTCTCTCTGTCTTTCCGTCTCTCCCTATCACCCATCTCTCTCTCTCTCTCTCTGTAAAACACCCACACACATACAAGTGCGCACCTACACACCTCACCCTCACATTCACAGGCACCCACATCCCCTGAATTCTAACCTCCCCTTTTCATTCACTCCCTCCCTCCCTCCCTCCCTCCCGTTTCTCTCTTTTCTCTTTTCTCTTTTCTCTTTCTCTCTCTCCCCAATCCCCTCCATCTCTCTCTCTCCTTTTCTACCCTATCCCTTGTTCCATCCTCTGCCTCAATCTACTCATGTAATCCTTTCCTTTCTCCTCTCATTTCCGTCATCTCTTTCTTCCCTATGCATGTTGTCACCTATCTCCTTTCTTTTTTTTCTTTCTTTCTTTTTAATCCCGTTTTCAGCGCATTTTAATGATTCTTTCTATATTACCAACCTCAACATTTTAGTATTGAATTTAACTAATTTTCTTCTGCAACATACACATCAACTTACATGTCACCGATATAACGAGTTAAAGACAACACAATTCCAATAATTACTCATGAAGAAAGTTGTAGAAGAAGAAGGGCTATTACAATAATCGATTGTTTGATGGCATGATAGCCCGGGGGAAATGGAAGGTGGTTGAGGGGGGGGGGCTGGGTGATGATAAACAAAATTGACAATGCCAATATCAAAGGTCTTACTTAGTACCCTTTTCTTTTCTTTTTAGGTATAATCTTTCAGTTTCAGTTCAGTTTTGTATTTTAATTTCCAACAGAACAATCAATATAAACAAGTATCTTCGGTCTCCTGGTTGCTTACTTAAAAGCATACACATGATTTTTTTTTAACAGTCAGGTAAGCCAAACACATAAACAAACAAACCTTAAAGATAAACTCCAGTACTGGTAAAAAAATAATAATAATTCTCACAGAATCAAACGAAACTTACACTGAATGTTCAAGATTACAAATAAATGACATGTGCCAAACAATTTTGGAAGAAAATTTATACTGGCTGAGTAATGAGCATAGAAAGACAAGAAAATCAAGGTAGTACTAGCCCCGACACCATGTGTGTTGTCCCATATATAGCTTTATATGTGAGTGCTTGTTACTTTACCAAGACTCGGTCAAATTTATTATGATTTTGATGACTCCAGAACCTTGCAGTGCACACCAATACTTACATGCTACATGATCAACTGTTTCTGATCCTTTCCACACCTTTTCTTTCACAATGCAATCGCATTACCAGTACTAAAGTTTATCTTTAATATAGTGTATATTGCAAAACATTAATCGGATTACAAATTAAAATGCATATTGTTGTGCATGCTTGTTAAAGAAAAACTAGGGAAATGGATGGTTCCACTGAAAAGCAGGGCTTGAGGAATGTGGGTCACTCAAAATATGATAACTATAATTAAATTAATATGATTAACACATATACATTTTTTCTTTAATAGGAAAAATAGATAAACTAATCTGTAAGTGGGGAGTGATGATATAATTACAAATCCATAATTAGAAAATTTATAACAACATTCGTCAGACGATGTTATACTATAGTTTAAAATCTCCTCTATTCAAAATAATAATAATACTAATAATATTCAGCACGATAGGACGCTTACATGAAAGAAATAAAATGCATTGTTCCCGTGTTTAGAAGAAGAAAAAAAAAACCTGCATTCATATTCAGAAGAATGCATCCATGAATGAAGGACATGCATGGTGTATAATTAGACTCTACTTTTATGTGTCAAATTTGAATAGCCCCAGCATTTTTCGATTGTCGTCTCATTTTACCCAAGTAACGACTGAAGTTTGTTATTGCGAGGCCGTCTGTTTCATTGTAGCTTTATTCTGGTTCAAATGTGACCATCGAAAGTGCTAGTTTCGATTTCAGTTTTAAATTTAGCGTGAAGCAAGAAATATTGTACCTGCGTGGAACCCCACCAATAGGAATCTCTGTGACAGACTTGAGAGTATTCAAAGAAGAGCCACTCGTTACATCCTGAAACAGCGCAGACAGCAGATGCGCTATCCCGGGCGGCTAAGACTCTTTAATTGGGTCTCGCTAGAATCCCCTAGGAACTACTTATTAACTTCGCTGCCTAAGCTCTCTACAAAATTGTTGAGAGCAGTGATATTTCTTCGAAAATCAGAGTAATAGAAAGGAGACAAGGAGATATCAGGTTCCATCAGCTGATGGCTCGTACGAAACGTTTAAGTGATTCCGCTATGTACATATTTCCTAAACTGTGGGACGAACTACCTCGGGACTTGCGCGTTGACTTTGTACTCTCTTAATTTCAGACCTGGCAACACAGTCATAACTTCTTTGATTTACTTTTTCTTTTGAAGTCGTTGTTTAATTTAATTTACGAGAGGTTAATGTAATAATTACGGTATGTTTTGTAATCATTCATTCGTCTACTTCTCTATAACATTCTTGAGACGAAACTGTAATTTTGATTTTTTCATTGTTATGTCTTTAGAGTATTTTTTCTTTCTTTTTCCTTCCATTATCTAAACATCGTCTGGACATTTCCAACGCAGCTTCTTTACAAATTGTTTGTATAATATAATATCAAATACGAAGTACTGGTTCTGTAATGTATTCGTTCTCCTAGTTTCCTTACTCGCCTGAAGCGAACTAAACCTATGTATTTATTCACTTCCTTTTTGTTGTCTTAATTTCTATATACCAGTCAACCTGTATGATTTTAGACATTCTTGTCAGTGCGCTACTACATGTTCTCATATTTTGTTCTTTTCCAAGTTTTATACTCCATGGTTTCAGTTTACCAACTTGACATTTTATGCAATACTTTTTAAGCCAGAATTAAGTCCTCATGTCAATTATAACATAAGTTCAGTATCGTGTCATGACCTAGTGTCATCATATATATTAATTTGATTTCCTCCTTGTGCTTTGTTTTTGTTAGCTGGTTTGTTTATGAAATGTTATACATTTTATTTACCTTCAGGTTATATTTTGCAGGTCTTCTGGGTGCACCAGTTGGTCGGGAAGAGGGACCATTACGGTTACAGTGATTAAGTTTGCTTACCTCTTTCCCGGCCGCCAACTGATGCCCCCAGAGGACCTCCGGGAAGATTGTGCATTTATAATTGACATTATATTAATGTTTGTTTACTCATATTTACATTGTTATATTTTGTGTATACTGCCGAATAAATAATAAATAAGTAAATAAAATAAATAGATAATTAATTTCTGTTTTTTCTCCTTAGTGCATTCCCCCTTGGGGCACTACTAAAAATATATCATGGTTGGCAATATGTCTTCTAAAGAGGATAGGCTTCCTAAGTCAATTTCTTTCTGAAAACTGTTAAATTTAATCATTTTTGTTTGTGTTTGAACAAATATAAAAGTTGTCCGCCACTACAAAACTGGGAATTACCGATTCAGCCAATTTTAAGAGCCCATACCTAAATTGATTTACTTCATTCAATACAGAGTATACAGAGAGCGAGAAACACATCAGTATTTTACTACATTTTCAAGGACATATCACGCCGAGAATGATATGGAAAGGTAGTGTATTACCAAGGACCCACTTTCCAGTTAAACTTTAATCTGTACCAGTGTTAAAAAGGTTGTCATAGAGCTAATAAAGACCAGAAATATGTAATTTTACAGAGCCATGGTCCTGCAAAAAGCAATCCTTCCGTCAATTGGTGCCTTTGGCAAACGAGCTACTGGCTGAGAGTTGAAGATTTTTACATGTATTTACTTATGCACAAGGGTGACCGACGTGCATTATGGTTGATACAACATGTATTAGTGATGGCACGATACCCCTCTGCCACGCCTGGGTTGCATCTATATTACTTCGTAAATGTCTCGCTGGTCTGATTTTGGGGCATCTTGATAGCTATGGGGGTCGGTGCGATTATGGTTGTTCCGTGTGTTTATAGTAAGATCTTGGAAGATATCATTGGTGTCTGAGTAGTCAAATGCAGGGTTCCCATACTTCGAGGAGGTCCCATGTGCAGTATTTGGTGGCGATGTGGCTGGTTCGATGCGATTCTGGTTGTTCCGTGTGTCTATAGTAAGATCTTGGAAGATATCATTGGTGTCTGAGTAGTCAAATGCAGGGTTCCCATACTTCGAGGAGGTCCCATGTGCAGTATTTGGTGGCGATGTGGCTGGTTCGATGCGATTCTGGTTGTTCCGTGTGTCTATAGTAAGATCTTGGAAGATATCATTGGTGTCTGAGTAGTCAAATGCAGGGTTCCCATACTTCGAGGAGGTCCCATGTGCAGTATTTGGAGGCGATGCGGCTGGCTCAGCATTTAAACGTCTTTGTTTAAACCTGGAAGTGAAATTCAATTCAAAACAAGATTTATTTATTTCGCCTTTTTAACATAGGCCTCATTGAATTTACATACACACACCCACATCCTCCAGATACCCACATATACTCACACAGTTCTGATAAACTGGAAGTAGGAAGGGTCCGTGGTAAGCATAACAGCTGCAATGTACGCGATTGTGTATGGCCCTTATCATACACAAGTTACATTCGAACACATTATAAACAATTCTTTGTAGATATTTGATAATGGCCTCTAGAAAATGAAAAATTCTGCAATCACTTTATCCATCGTCGTTCTGTCTCACTTTAGATGGTCAAGAATTAAATTTTTGTTAACGTCAAATTTACGATAAAATAATAACTAAATTATTTATAACATTGTTATCAGACAGTGGCATTGAATTCACTAGGATTTGTCTACTTGTTTTCGAGCTAACTTACCTTCTATACATCACCACAATACATATTAGTATTACGATGATAACGAGGAGTGCTATCACACTCCCTATAACAACTCCTAGTGGTATTCTGATACCATTATCATCACCTTTAGCAAAAAAAAAAAAAAAAACATATTCATGTAATTATGCTTTCATGAATTATGCAATTATTTTGTTGGTCTGTTTCACAAATTTTGTTGTTGATTTTGTGCAGATCATATTAACGTTCGTAAATGAAACTGTTTCTATTCTTTTCATGAAGTTTCACAATAAGATGTAACAGAGAAATGGTTTGGATTTATACATTCGATTTCTACTTATTTTGAATAATACATGATTAGTGCAGACTATTCAACTTCTTCAAAGGCATTCAGAAAATTAAACAGAGAACAAAGAATAATATTATCATGTAGATTATTATGAAAAGGTACTTATTTATGTTCATATTTTGAGACATATTACGGTTACATACCGACTTTAATTTGACGTGTAGCTTTTAATCGATAATAATAATGATACAAATAATAAATTACATTCGTTCGGCACGTAGTCCTCTTTAAATCGAATGCTCAAAGTCGAATTTGTGAGAAGAAAAAATATTAAATAAAAGCATCTGCATTATAAACAAAATGGGTGTTATATAGAACATACGAAAATGAAAGAACAATTTATTGAATACCGAATGCATTTTACTTCTACATCTAGAAAAACACATTACCTACAGTGTAGTCAAGTATACAATTTGGGGTATAACAAAGTTTTATTCGTTTCATGCCTTACCTGAGAGGATGGTTTTCGCATTCACGGGCTCAGACCAATTACTAGAACCAGCTCCATTGACAGTTCGGACCTAACAAACATCAATTAAAATATGGTGTTGCAGAAATAATAAAAATACAAATATCATCCACACACGAAACACTCAAAAGAATTATTTGGAGCTGGTAAGTCATGTCTACACGTATAATGATACAGATATTCATATATTAAAGAACATACCAATCTACTCATAAGCGTCTGAACCACAACAATTAATACACTGTCGCTCATAACGGTGGAATATTTTTTTTTATCCCAATTTATGGAATTATTTTAAAAATAATTTAAAAATACTAGATCTAGATAATAGTATACATTCTCAGTTTTTATGGAATAATAATTTGCCAATGTGTGTTTTGCGTGACTGCTAAAGCATGTATATGCTACTATGTTTATCAACTAGGGGACCTATGCCCTTAAGTCATAAATGACAGTAACGAGGATTAATGCCCCACAAAAGGGCACTAATATAGCACATCGACACGGTGTTGATCCTGGGGCCTCACAGTTACAAGGCCATTGCTTTGTCACTGAACCATGACTGTACGCAGCGGGGGCTAGGGTAGGGGGCAGTTTCCATAAATACAAAATAACATAAAAAATGCAATAAATTTTCAATAATTTATTGCATTCTACCCCGGTCCCCAACATAATTTTTTTTTCTGTGTGCCCATGCCTTGAGCCATAATGCATGGCCTTCCAGAGGATTTTGTTATGTTGGGGACCGGGGTAAAATGCAATAAATTATTGAAAATTTATTGCATTTTCTGTGTGTTTTTTTATTTACGGAAACTGCCCCCTACCCTAGCCCCCGCTGCGTACAGTCATGGTTCAGTGACAAAGCAATGGCCTCGTAACTGTGAGGCCCCAGGATCAACACCGTGTCGATGTGCTATATTAGTGCCCTTTTGTGGGGCATTAATCCTAATTACTGTCATTTATGATGTAAGGGCATAGGTCCCCTAGTTAATAAGCATAGTAGCATATACATGCTTTAGCAGTCACGCAAAACACACATTGGCAAATTATTATTCAATAAAATCTGAGAATGTATACTATTATCTAGATCTAGTATTTTTTAAATTATTTTTAAAATTATTCCATGAATTGGGATTAAAAAAAAAAATCCACCTTTATGAGCGACAGTGTATTTAGATGCCATTAAACTACACTCAAATGCTATTTCTTTGAATGTAATATCATGCATGTAATCGGGGATTGCTGTTAGATCAATGGCACAAATACGAAAGAGAATCACTTCATAATTTCATCTACTTTCTCCAATGGCTCTTAAGATAACAAGTCATTATTAAATGTTCTACATATGGAAAGCTTGTACTAGAATATGAAGAAAATGAAAATTTCTTTAATACTTGGGTCCCAAGGATTGTGGTCAATCATACCTGAACTGTGTAGTTGTTCTCAGGGGGCAGGTCCATTATAGTATGTTCTCCATCAAATGCATCAGTTAATACTTCCTCTAACTTGTATTTACCATCAACAACGGGATCAGTTTGCTTGTAGCGAATGATATACTTCTGGATGTTACCATTGATGTTATACGGTACAGGGGTAGACCAGGATACAGTGAAGGAGCTTGTAGTACTCTGCGGTAAAGCCACATTGATAGGAGCAGGCGCGACTGATTAGAAGTAAATTGTTTTATACAAGTATCACACTGTAATATGGTAGAATTATGTATTAATATTCCGGAATATCAGATACTTTAGTTTTTCTCGTCTTACCAGGAAAGTACGATTTCTAATTCCAGAAAACCAATCTAATTGAGTGCAATTAAAGATACTAATTGTATCAAAGAAAATAAGAGTTGGAATCACAATGAAAATGTAATGACATTAGGCAATGGTACTTCTATGTCTCAAACAGTCATGTATATGATTTATATAATGTAGACAGAAGTAGTTCAGAAGTATAACAAACACTGCTAAAGATATATTTATAGATCTCATTGCTCTCGATCTCTACCGATATCAAACGTATTGGTCCGTACTCAACAAACATTTAAACCGACGCTGGTTAAGCATAGTCTTACGTTAGATTTCAAAAAAGGTGTTAGACCGAAGTCTTATTCGAACAAACTGTAGTCCTCGGGTTGGCTTTGATGAATTAGCAGTATACAGTGCGTCCCAGAAAAAACGAAACCGCAAACCGAGAATTATCGGTGTTTTACTATAACTTAATCACAATTATAATTACTGAATGACGCATATCTGTAACGCTTAGATCCGCCTCTTTCATTTGATGCAACTCATATGATGCATATTTCCCGCATAAGTGATTAAACGCAATTTGAAGAGAGAAAACAAAAAAGTCATTTAGCGGACGGTAACTGAATTTCAAAGAGAAAAATCACATTTTTAGAAAGTCCACTTTCTTCGATCAGTCATGCATAAAGTCTTTCGTCTTTTTTGTGCACGGCTGATCGTCAACGAAACGGAGTTAAGTCTTTTGAAAACTCTGATTTGTGCTACGGCAGGCAGCTAGTGAAAACGAATTTGTTTAATCAAATTATGGAAATGCAAGCATTACTTTAAACAAACAGAACTTGGTTATTCCTAGCTCATTTTTGTTGGTGGAGGTGTCATATGAAAGGGCAGAAAGTGGACTTCCTAGAAATGTGATTTCTTCTTTGAAATTCTGATACGGGCTGCCAAATGACTTGTTGGCTTCCTCTCTTCAAATTGCTTTTAATCACTCATGCGTGATATATTCATTATATGAGTAGCATCACATTAAAGAGGAGTATCTAAGCTTTACAAATATGTTTCATTTGTTAATTATAATTTTGTTTAAGTTATGATAAAACATCGATAATTCTCGGTTTCGTTTTTTCTGGGACGCACTGTACAGACCATACAGCATGAATAATTCCCACTCTATCAAGATCAATTAAACGAACCGAAAGTAAGATCAACCAAAAAATCATGTATGAAGAAGGTTGTGATATTAATATCTACAATAATATGAACTGTATTAATTAACTGGCAAAGCAACTCCTACCCCACCCGAGAAAAAACAAACATCCCAAGATAAACACGAACCTTCTTCAATTGTTTTGCCGATAGTCTCACTGATCCTATCACCCTCCTCGTCTTTATTTGATGCAGTCAATTGAATGGCATAGTCCAGATAGGTGTATAACCCTTTTATTGTGTAGGAGCTAGTGTCACGAGAAACCAGGATAGAGTTTGAAGAAGTTGATCCAGTGGCAGCATAGTAGATCGTATAATGACTTACTCCACTCCTGCATTCTGCTGATTCCGAGGGGAGGTGCTTAAACATAAAGGTGCAAATACATGTTACATGAAGCACAACGACATATAAAACTATGTTACTTTCACACTAATAAACAAATTATGGGTCGTTATACTATTTTGCTTACAGTTTCTCGCATTAATGAGGATGCTACCAACAAAAAGAAAATCCATATTTGCATCCTTCTGTAAAGTGAAATCAAAAGTCCATTTCTTAACCCAACAGCTCATACTTTCGACTTGCAACAGAGAAATTGGTACCCATTTTTTAAATATTTGTTACACAATATGTATTTGTTAGAGTCACTTATTGACATGGGTGTCGATCTGTAACTGATACCTATTCATCAGGGGGGGGGAATGATCTATTCATTCATCCCCCCTGATGAATAGGTATTACGTAAGGATCGACACCCATGCTTATTGAGGTACGTGAAGAAACATTCAAAAATAGCAAGTGGTGTGGAGGAGTTCTTATTTGACATATCCCGAGGAAATCAAAGGTAAAATCAAATCTCATCAAGGTTGTATGTGTATTTACCAGCTCTATATATGATCTTCTACCTGCATGTAATAACAAATACGACTATTAACAGTTATACATTTTGTGCTCTGGACGAATCTTTTCATCCAGCTACATATCACCAAGTGACCAAACAGTTCTTACCTCCCATGTCAACTCTAGCTCTTTAGGGTTAATGGCTGAAACTTGTAGTCTAGTTGGAGAAGCACTGGGTTCTGCAGTTTAACATGACATAGAAGATACTAAACGGTTAGTCATATAGTAGATTAATTCGTGGTAAAATCTAGTATTACTACAACAAGTACTCTTCATCTGGTTTTAAATTAAATGTCAACGAGTCAAACATGAAACTGTCGTTGGGGAAAATACAGTCAAGGGTATTATAAACATTTTTGGGAAATGGATATTTTGTACAAAAATAATTCTGTTTTAAATCATAGTTAGATAGAACGATTAAAGAGAAGAAGGTACGGAATGGGAAATACAAACATTTCTATGTGATATATTTTAATCAAAGTAGTTAAAGAGCCTTCAAGCATTACAAAGTTTATAAATATCCCAATTGTATGTACAAATCATTTACTAATACTGTACACTGTAAAAAAAGTTGGGCAATATTTTTCAACACTTTTCAACCCAACCATCTATTGGGCAATATTTTCGTATTTTGCCCAACAGCTGGTCAAGGTTTTCCCAACAAGTGGGCTACCGTAGTCGGGCATATGGCAAGCCGTTTTATCATTTAAACATATTTCTTGATATCAAGAAATGAATTCTTGATATCAAGAAATCGAATTCTTGATATCAAGAATTACCATTGCTTTACAACATAAAATCATTTCTTGATATCAAGAATTCAATTCTTGATATCAAGAATTCGATTTTTTGATATCAAGAAATCGAATTCGTGATATCAAGAAATCGAATTCGTGATATCAAGAATTAAATTCTTAATATCACGAATTGTTATAGTGAATGATTTCGAACGCAAAGGTATTGCACGAATTCATTCTGAGCGCGCCGTTTTAACATTTATATGTTAGGCATGATATAGGAATATATGTTAAAACGGCGCGCTCAGTATGAATTCGTGCAATACCTTTGCGTTCGAAATCATTCACTATAACAATTCGTGATATTAAGAATTTAATTCTTGATATCACGAATTCGATTTCTTGATATCACGAATTCGATTTCTTGATATCAAGAAATGATTCTTGATATCAAGAAATCGAATTCTTGATATCAAGAAATGATTTTAAGTTGTAAAGCAATGGTAATTCTTGATATCAAGAATTCATTTCTTGATATCAAGAAATATGTTTAAATGATAAAACGGCTTGCCATATGCCCGACTACGGTAGCCCACTTGTTGGGAAAATCTTGACCAGCTGTTGGGCAAAATACGAGAATATTGCCCAATAGATGGTTGGGTTGAAAAGTGTTGAAAAATATTGCCCAACTTTTTTTACAGTGTAATTACTATTAATTTAATACAGGTACCTATAATTGTAGATAAATGACCTAAATCAAGCTTCAAAAGTTTGAAAAATAAGCATCCTCAACGTCTTATTTTTTCTGCAATCTAAAACTTACTTCTACAGCGAGTTATTGTGTTGTTCCAAGGAGAAGCAAGTCCGGCTCCACCTGTTCCTTCCCTCACTGCTGCTAAACGAAACCTGTAATCTGTGTCGGGTGTCAGGTTAATAACAAAGGCTGATGTTGTGAGATGGTCTACTCTCTGATCCGTTACCCAGTCACCATCCTTCTTTACAAAGACATCATATCCTACCAGAGGAGGATCACCTATGTCATCTTCTTCAGACCATGCATTCCATCGAAGACCTACTGTAGTTGACGTGGTGCTCACTATCACCGGTCCTTTCTCAATTACTGGCAGAACTGACAAAAAGGAAGAGAGACACAAATAGTTAATACAATTCATTGAAATAACCGTGAAAATCAATAACACACATACAATAGTCAATAGTCAAGTCAATATATGTTAACAAAAAGATTCCATAATGCACAAGAAAAGTAGAGAACTATCAACAGAACTGATCCGATCCCCTGTAACCCGGCCTATATGCAGACAGCGCGACTGAGAATGATTCTGCATTTAAAGAAAATTAAATCCTGCTCTCTATTACACATGTATCTCACAGCAGTACAGTAGAGTAAACTGATGTCACGCAGTTTGCTCACCATAAGTTGCGCCAGTAGAGGGCGTACTGGGATAGCCGGTGTTTTCAACAGATAGAATGCAAACGTATCCCCCATATTCATGCGGATACACACTATCAACATCAAAGACAACAGCTCGTTCTGACCCTGAGACAGTGCTTGATCTCCTGGTGATTCCTGTCCTGTTATTGGTGCTTCCAGTCTGTCTGTAAAGATCAACTGAGGATGCATCGGGAAGTGGGATACCCTCAACATAACATGTGAAAGTAGATGGTTGGTATGGGTTTACTCTCATTAGAACCAATCTTGATATTCCTGTCAAGAGTGAAACCAGATATTAAATATCAATTTCATGCTGATATTATGCACGTCAACACGGAGCTAACCAAATCATTTCATTCAAAATCTACTCGCCTTTTGTATTTCATCCACAATCGTATATGCACTTTGTAAAACATTGACCAATCATGATATTCATCAATAAACGAACGAATTCGATTATATTGAAAAGAATATAATATTCCTGTAAAAAAAAAAAGGAAAAAATACCAAACATTAAATACAATTTTTCACGTCAAGAGCAATGGATGATTGGAACCTAGTCATTTCTTAATATTAGTATTACTATCGAGAACTAAGCAAAATCATAAAAAATACCACAAATACACTTCTACGTGTACATACAGGTGTACCTAAACAAGGTAAGATCTTAATCTGATAATTTTGTTCAAAATCTAATATCAATGCAATATTCCTAACAAGCAAATCATTAATGCACTTTTAAAGCCACTCGCTATTATTCCTCATGATTTCTATCCACTTGAAAACACTCTTTTGTAAAAGAAAGATTATCGCATTACAGATAATCATTCCACTTATTGCATGTTTAGTGTCGGAGAAATTTCATAGATAATAGATTGGACTAAACATTTGCATAAAGAGAAACAATACAGAATAGTTTGTATACTTATGTGTACATTTTCTGTAAAAAAAAAGCAGAAAATAATGGCTATTTATATAGTGTCGGTATCCGCCATGTACTGCGATGCTCATGGTGCTATATAAATTACCTAGCTTAAACTTAAGTAAAATTATTTGCTCTAAAAGCTTATTAAGCAAGATTATGATTTATAGGTAAACAACAGCTAAACTCTGATGTTGTTTTTAATCTGAACCATTTTAAGCTGAACAAGAACACAAACCAGAATACAATATGATGGGTGTAATTACTTTGACAGTACGGTCCAATCCAGCTTTCAAGGCATTGTCCCTTGCAAAGGCCCCTCTCCGTCTCGCAAGCTTCTGGAGCACAATAACATTGCTGAAGACAATCCAAACCAAAGGTACCACCTTCACACTCTAGAATATTATAGAACAAACGAGTAAGGTCACGTACTAGAAACACAGGGTAGATGAATAGTACTTTAACAACTAGTTTACTCAGTTGAAAAACGAGCCCTGTGTAACTTGTACTTGAGTTTGATGGAAGCGTGTATCACCATAATCAAATATGTTTCCATCAAATGATGTTAGATTATTAAATTTACATCTTGATTTCTCTAGATGTGATAAACAGGTTTTGACGTCTTGTTGTTTTCACTACTGACATGATCACAAACATCAACCATCATATAAAAACTTCTTCTTACTCTCTCAAATTCAATTTCAACATAATTTTCATGTCTTCCATTACTTTGATAACCCCACAAATAAAGCAGTTTGTTCAAGCAAATCAAATATGGCTTCATCCAGACAACAATGTTATCATTATTTGTGCATTTTATACACAGCATATTAAGATTCTAGGCCTATGATTGGTCAAAACTGCAGGAATGACATTCACTACTCAGTTCTGTGCAGGAAATATATATAATATATATAATATATATATGGATACGAATAAAGTTAACACCAGATACAAGTAATTGGCACAAACCATTATTCCAGATTATTAAACTTTCCCTCCATGAATGAAAACACTTTAAAGGAAATACTTTATCACGATATGTTTTAGGTGAATCCACAAGATGAATACGATATAAAAACAAATATTGACAGCTGAATTTTTACCTCACGATTTAAACTCTATACATGTGAATGTAGCTCCTCAGTGTTCTCGAGACTGCATTATGCCCCTCAATGTTGTCTCAGGGCACAGTACAGTTGCAGGATCACGTTGGGCGAATAGTCACCATTAACGATGCCCTTCAAAGAAGTCAATATTTGTCTACTAGAATCCCCCTTCAGAGTATACATTTTATTTATGTATTTACTATCGCAGCACTATTGACCAAATGTACATACAATTATGAGCGTTTATACATGTGCACACGGTGTGTCGAGCACACTGTACTATTCACTTATGTACATGTTGCATGTATAAAATGAATATAAATCGATATGGAAAATTCAACACCCTTTATTGAAAAATGATATTTTACCTTGACATTTGACCTGGCCACTGCGTACTTTGTATCCTAGAGCACACTTCTGCTCAGGGCACTCTCCAGTCTGTTTATCACATGGTCCATCATTCAAGCAATGACATTTATCAGTGCATTGTGATTCATAGTAACCGGCTTCACATTCATCTGGAACTGGAGATGGTATGAACATATTTCAGTAATCACAATTTAGCAAGTACAACAAGCAAATGATATTAGCCCATTACAAGTAGATTGTTTTACATTCTCCTGAATTTACTGACAGTGCCTTCACTAGATAAATCCGTGTATTTTAAGAAAGGAATCATCTCTTCTAGTACTTAACATGGAGTACTTTCCTAAGAAAAGTAATCCAATAAAGTCGTCTAGTCGTCTACTACGACTATTATTACTTCTACTAATAGATACGGAATATATGGGAGGAGTTGTTCCGAAACACAGCTTACGATTTGGTTTGTTTAAATACAAAATATAATAACTTCGAGTTAAAGATAAACTCCAGTTCTGGTAAAAAAAAAAGAAGAGAAAATTTAGTCTCACAGAATCAAACGAAACTTACACTGAATGTTCAAGATTACAAATAAATGACATGTGCCAAACAGTTTTGGAAGAAAATGTGTACTGGCTGAGTAATGAGCATAGAAAGACAAGGAAATCAGTACTAGCTCAGACACCATGTGTGTTGTCCCATATATAGTTTTCTGTGTACAGTGCTTGTTACTTTACCAAGACTCGGCCAAATTTATTATGATTTTGATGACTCCAGAACCTTGCAGTGCACACCAATACTTACATGCTACATGATCAACTGTTTCTGATCCATTCCACACCTTTTATTTCACAATGCAATCGCATTACTAGAACTCACCTTTATCTTTAATCCATTTGCTACCGAATTATCTTATTCCCAACACAGGAGCCATCGAGTTCTGTAGGCAATGGGGTTCCAGCGAGAAAAAAAAATACAAAGCCGCAGTGTACATGTAACATTTTGATTTTTGTTTGTTTGGGGAAAGCATTCATGTCATATTATTTGTTATCATTGCTGACTATGACTTACTTTGACAGTTGTCCCCAGACCAGCCAGTCTGACATCCACCTGTACATATTCCACTATAGATATTACATGATGAACCTACGGCACAGTTACATGTCTGTGAACATCCTGGACCATATGTACCACTAGTACATACTGTAACGGAATTCAAAATACAAAATAAAGATTTACAGATACAATACATTCATCAAAAAGCTATGTTACAATAACTTCTATTTCTCCTTCTTGCTTCTTTTGTTTCATTCTCCCCCTCTTCCTTCTTCTTCTTTTTCTTCTCCTCCTCCTCCTCCTCCTTCTTATTCTCCTTCTTCTTCTTCTACTTCTTCTCCTTCTCTTCTCCACTGAGTTTTGCCTGACCTCACCCATAAATTCAGCCACATTGCTTTTGATATGCCAAGAAAAACTAGAATTGTCATAGAATTGTAGAAGTATGATTACTTTTAGGCCTATATTTTTGTTACGATTTTTATTTGAGTACATTTAAATGTCTATCGGAAGACTCACGTGTGTTGCATGAATTACCATGGGCTCCGACATCACATGAACATCCGTACGGATTAGGTAAGCAAAAAAGATTCCCATGACATTTGTTGTTTTCATCACTGCTATATGAACATTGAAACTCGCAGTTCAATCCATATCGATTTCCACCACCGATTCTACAAACTGATACAAAATGGTTGCATTGTTCAATTAAAACCTTATAGACTTGATAAGAAATAAGTTTTAATGAGATATATTTCAAGTATGGTTCCTTCCATGAAATCTCCTTTGCAAATTACCGATGGTTTCTATCCTATGCTCGTTAAAAAATGTTTTTATTACATTGAATGAACCCCTGCCATACTATGGATAACAAATTTGAATCATACAAATCTATGTTATTTAGAGATTTAACATGGTAGAAAACAGATGTAAACCATTTCCACTGCTGTATCTTATTTTGTCATTCTTGTGTTTGTATTGATTTACTTTCATATACATGTACATGTAAAATGACCTGCAAACTATTTACGAAGTCATTTTACGTAATATAAAACAGACTGTAAATAATACATAAAAGATAATACAAAATAAAATATCTGAAACCTACTTCTTATAAACAGAATTATACGTGATAAATCAACATTATCCTTGCAAACGATTCGTGATAAAAGGAAGAGTTACAAGTACGCAAAGAAATATTTCAATAGACATGATGTATGAATACTATTCTGATTTCTCTATCTCCTCGTCGTGTATAAGACAGAAATATTTGAAATTAATATGGAAAATAGATGTACATTACTCTGTTCACTTTCAAAGGAATAAGACAAGAAATATTTTCCTCTATTCATCTATAAATAATTAAACTTAATTCAAATGAAGTTCATCAGGCCTACTTACTTTCTAAACAATTCGGTCCCTTGAAGTTATTAGGACAGATACATAGACCAGACTTGTCATCACAGACTCCACCATTGTAGCATTTATCACAGATACCATAACAGTCAGGGGGACCCCACTTACCAGCAGGGCATTCTAATATGAGAAATTGAAGTAGACTAATGAAAAGTTTGTTTCGCAATAATACTCTCGAACCTAGAACTATAAGTATAATAGTGCATGTCAGTGGCTCTGTCACATTCTAAAAATACTTATATGTGTACTTTGAAACTACCTGTATGTACTTATCACATCACAGATCATGACATGCTTACACTTTAATTTTATCATTGGAAGTTTCATAAATCTTTTGAAATAAAAATTACAAAGGGATAAAGTTGTCCCTCGTACGGTAATATGCCATTCCAAAAGATCATACTTATTATCTACCAGAATACTCTACCATAATTTTGTTATAGAAAATAATGAATTAATATTGATTGATATAAATGCATATGTAAAAGATCAATATCCACATGTTATTTGCATAATCCAATCAATCTAAAACAAAAGATTTCTTGGCGAAACATGAAGCAAAGCTTTAACATGCATTCTTACAAACAATATTACATTGGAGAACAGATTAATTAAAGCCCAATCTCAATTAATCAGGAATACACTTGTACATCTACCTCTGACGATTAGTCTGTACAATCCTCCTCTACTTTGATCCCTTTCGTTATCATAGTAGATCTCATAGATTCCTTGGTCTGATGTCTGGATTGGGTTTGGGAAGCTGAGCTGAGTCTGCCCATCAAATGATGTAAGAACCTCACTTCCATCTTTCCTCCAAGTAATCACATTGCCACTTGCCTCAGGATCATGACGCCTAGTCATGCTGATCATCACTCCAGTGTCATTCACATTGACTGCCTTTGTAAACAATCCATCACTTGATATGAATTTAGCTGTTAATAGAGATGATAATAAGTTAACCAAAATAAGGTTAACTTTAATACATTACGTATGGTACCAGCATGCAACGCGCACTGTAGCCATCTACTCACTCAGGTATACCGCGTGATTTTATAAGACTTTGCATTCAAGTTTTCTGTTGATATTTTTCTATTGCAATTTGATATCACTTCCTATTAAAGATTAGAACATAGTAAATTGTGTGGTGCATATCAAAATCTGTTTGGGTTTTCCTTTAAGCATTCGAATGTAAATAAACAATATCAACATATTTGGGGTAATTTCAGGCTTGAAGATAAAGGTGAGTTCTGGTCATCTGATTGCATTGTGAAAGAAAAGGTGTGGAATGGATCAGAAAAAGTTGTTCATGTAGCATGTAAGTATTGATGTGTACTGCAAAGTTCTGGAGTCATCAAAATCATAATAAATTTGGCCCAGTCTTGGTAAAGTAACAAGCACTGTACACAGAAAGATGTATATGGGACTACACAAATGGTGTCGGGGCTACTTACCTTGATTTCTTTATCTTTCTATGCTCATTACTCAGCCAGTATACATTTTCTACCAGAATTGTTTGGCAAATGGCATTTATTTGTAATCTTGAACATTCATTGTTAGTTTCGTTTGATTCTGTCAGATTGTTTGATTTTTTAAAAACCAGAACTCACCTCTATCTTTAACTCAATACCGCGTATGATTTGTGTATGACAACAATTTCGTGATTTTTAAGTTTAAAATTTCCTAAACAGAATCCTACTCACTGAAATTATACATCTGAAATATCACGCCTTTGTAATATAGCCATTCTCAAGCAATAATCTTCAACGAGTGTGTAAGCGTCATAATCAGAGCCATTTTTGAATTACTATCGCTCCTGGTCCTCAGAAAACCGTCTTCCCGTAAACTCTCTGCTGTTCGAAACAGTTTTCCAATGTAGCGCATCGTTTACAATGTGGATTATAAAGTAATCATATCCACATAACAATTCATAGACCAAGACCTCAGTGCTGTTATGGTGCGTCACATTTAGTCTACATTTTAAGAATACATCATTAAATATCCTATATTTATTATAATGAATGGAATAATAATCTTACCATCAATTCGTTGGAAAAATGTAGTAACCCTTGTAACATCTCGACCAGATTTGGAAGCCTCACAGTAGAAAGGACCGAAACCATCTCTATCCCATCCATCGCTTGTAGGGAATCTCACCACTCTGACGAATGGGAATCCATCTGAGTGCTGCTCCTCTTCTGGCGGTGATCTGTTTGTTGTTATGGGTGCTGATCGACCTAATGATATATAAGCGTCTCTATCTGGTTCACTGGGGTAACATTGATACTCGAAACCTCTAGATGAACCGGCTACATTAGTGTGTCTCGCGGTCAGCACTGTGATATGAACAACCTCACCTGGATAACAAGAGGTGACTTTATTAATACAGTATATCTATACTCAATTTCTTTTTCCACATGCATTTTGGACTTCAAACCATCTTGTAGAGGTGTTGTGGTCGAGTGGATACGTCACCGGACTGTCGATCACAAGGTCCGCGGTTCGAGTCCCGCCGCGACACTAATGTCCTTCGGCAAGACATTGATCTACATTTGCCACACTCAATCCAGGTGAGGTGAATGGGTACCTGGTAGGATTATTCCTTGAAATGCACTGTGCGCTGGGTAAGCTAGGGTAACAAAGTCCAAAGCTCTTTGGAAGCGCATAGAGACGTTATTTCATAACGTATTATGCGCTATACAAGAACTGAACTATTATTATTAGTAGTAGTAAATTATATGTACTGTAGGACAATATGACACTTAAACAAAAACACAACTGCATTTAAAATGATCAAATCTAAATCAATTGGTGACCGATTGAGAAGCATGTCCTGTGAGGATGAGTCCCTTTTGGAAAACGAACGTTTCGATTACGAACGGGAAACTAAATATTAACAATATTGTATATTTGATAACGCATGCGAAGATCCATTACACAAGACGCTCAATGCGCTCGTGTACCATCCGGCTAGGCTACCGGTTTCGGTGCTCACAGCGTTCTATTATATCAGTACAACACCTGGGTTAAGAGTGGTAAATGAAGATTAATATATTGCCAACGGGGCTCGATCCCACTACATTCGACTCTCCAGTCACTTGCATACGCTTAATCATATTATATTGTCTTATCATGGTTCTTCATTAGAAAAGAAGTACAAATACAATATGAACTTTTAGTATAATTAAATTGTTATTAAATAAGTTCATGATCATGTTGGCCCCCCACTCAGTTTTATTTAGGGTACGCGTATGCTTGTTCCCTCTTTTTGAAAGCACCCCCTATCTGAGGACTGCCAACATTTCCGAACCCCCCTTTCGCGGGCTTTTCGCGGGTTTTGCCTGCCTTGGAGGCCCACCTAAATCATAAAAAATGCTCAATGTACCCCCCTAATTTGGGAATAATTTCTCAGTAGTCCAAAGAGATGAGAGAAAAAAAAAGAAGAAAAAACACCCCCTTTTTAAAGCAATATCAGGGTGAAAAGTTAATACACCCCTTTTTTTTTACAATTCTCGGGCCGGACTTTGTCGCACGAAAAGTACCCCTTTACCGGACATTTTGGTAACAAGCATGGGGTCCGTCCTTTCTCGTCAGGGAAACGCGTGGCTAGTGGTTCGTCACCATGGGAGAGTGATACACAAAACGTGGCCGAAAAAAAATTGACAATGCAACGTCCCTTATGGGCGTATGCATTAATTTTCTTTTGCAGGCTTGAGTAGCACACGTAACGCAATCGAAATGAACAATCAGTTTCTTGTAATCTTGCCATTAGAAAAGCCCGTATAGGCGTATTTTCGCCAGGGGGCTGACGCCTCCTACCTGAATAAATGTATCACCTTTCAAATTGCTGCATTAAACTAGGCAAAAACATTACGGCAGATATAAGTGAACATTTAAATATATATTACTATTCGAGACGAGTCTGACCCAATATAATGGGAAAGGATTATCATCTCAATTGAGTGATTGACAAATATGTTATAATTTTAAGCATCCCTATACATTATTCTCAAAATAGAGCATGAATTGGGATTTTCCGACCTGACAACATTCACTGAATGTAACTACATTCTGACTATTGAACAAACTATAATCCTAACAACATCAAATCGGACCAGGAGAAGCGAGGCAACGCGATGTTGTTAATTTAGTTTTGGCACCAAGTATTGAATGGAACTGTATCGCTCCACTAGAACCCTACACTTGTAGGGACAATGTTCTAGGCATGCTTTTTCGCGGAATGGGGGTGGAAAACTTGGGAAAAGGAAACTCCTATTAAAAAAATATAAAGTACAGTTATTTAGAATCGGCCCACAGCTCACTACACTTGACTGCGAAAGGTATGTGCACCATTGCCCAACGTGTTAACCTTTTTATCAGTTTAGAAAACCCGAAGAGATATATGTGGCTTCAGGAAAATAGGCTGTAAGGTTAAAGTATGCTGTAGTCACGTTATCTCCCAATAAATTAAGTCTCAAGATTTTTAACCCTAGTAAGGCCGGCGGCGCCCCGCCGCTCGCTGACTTTTTTCTTCCGAGTCTTGCGCATCTTTTAAAACATTTTCTTTTGAAAACTGACATTCAGTTACAAAGTCACGTGACATTTTATCTTTGCATGTCAGCCCGAAAATCGCTTATTTTCGTGATTTGTGTATAAAACATATAGAAATGTCATTTTTCCTATTAAAAAAAAAAACATACATTGGTTATTGAGTCTTGTTTAAAGTTTAGGTGTTTGTTTTGGGAGTCAAAATGGTTGAGTTAGAAATGAAATAAAACAACAAAAACAATAAAAATACATGAGTATAAAAAACAATGAAATACACCAGAAATTATCAAAACAAGAGATAACATAAAGGCATAGCCTAGCTCCTCCAAGTTATTTGTTTGTCGTATTATTGCTTCAAATGGTCTAATGAATACACATAGTGAAAAGGAATGTAAAGAATATATGATTTATGTGTAAAAAGTTGAATTTTTGCATAAATTACCATAAATATGCAAATGAGTGAAATTTTCGAAAATTAAATTTACCGCAGTATTCTATACACTTTACTTGACATGCGTGCAATTTTTTGCGGCAATCATCCGTTTCACGGCCGAGATCTCAGGGGGGGGGCATTATGCCTATTATGCCCCGGCCGTATTAATACCCCAAAAGCCCGGCCATTTTATAGTTAAGTTTCATTACGAATCAAGTATGATGCTTTCATTATCTCAACAATCGCTCTCATCACGGTGATATATTTCAAAGTATACGTAAGTAGGAAACAATTAAACCCCTAAAGACCGGATTTCCTCAATACTTCAGGGTAAGAACACTTTGAAAATCGAAAGCAAACATCTTACAATATATTAATAATGATAATAATAAGATATTTGTATACCGCAAATTGCAAATTGCCTCTAAGCGAGTGTACATACATACATAGAGAGGAATAGAGCGCTGAAGGGAAACAGAGAAGGGCAGACGAAAAAAGAAAGTGAAGACGCAGAGAGAGAGAAAGGCCTAACACTAACCCTCTGTAATTTTAAATAAAGCCAATGTCACAAATCAAGATCATTCCCTTCTGGAAACCGTTTCAATCTATTTGATTTCATGAAGTATTTGTTCGTTTGATCTGCCAGCTAAGAAAGTATTTGTATGATTGTAAGTAAGCAACCAAAGGACCTCTCCGAGGGTTTTGGTAATGAGGAGTATTGCATTGGCGAAGGGCACTAACGCTTCGACCCGATTTCGAACCCGGGACCTTCCTGCTACGAAACTACTGCTCTACCACTGAGCCACCGCGCATTCTTCTATCAAGGAACACCAAACAGTATCCTAAAAATTAAGTACATTAGATATTCACAGGTGCTGATGATGGAATAACATTGCGCTTTTAAGGGTTAAGGTTATTATTACTATATCAAATATTTTTTTGAAAAAGATGAAGAAGACATGAATCACAGCAAAACAACATGAATAATTTCAGAAAAATATCAATGTCAATAGCCCAGCCTTTTTAGGGTTATGTTTTATGAAGAGTTAAGTATATGATGCTTTCATCATCTCAACAATCGCTCTCATCACGGTGATATATTCCAAAGTATACATAAGTAGGAAACAATTAGAGGTTAAACCCCTAAAGACCGGAATTCCTTAATACTTTAGGGTAAGTACACCTTGAAAATCACAAATCAAGATCATTCCCTCTGGAAAAATCGTTTCAATATATTTGATTTCATGAAGTATTTGTTTCTTTGTTTGTTTGACCTGCCTGTTAAGAAAGTATTTTTATGGTTGTAAGTAAGCAACCAAAGGACCTCTCCGAGGGTTTTGGTATGAGGAGTATAGCCTTGACGAAGGACACAAGCGCTTCGAACTGGTTTCGAATCCGGGACCTTCAGGTTGCGAAACTACTGCTCTACCACTGAGCTACCACGCATTCCTATATCAAGGTCTCATTGCGTCTGTTTACATGTTTAGTGGCCCCTACCTGTTACATGTGGAGTACCGCAAGGTACGAGGCTCGGTCCCATCCTTTTCGTAATCATGGTAAATGATGTTGCAACCTCTACCCCTCTCAGATGGAAATATCTTGATGATTTGAGTGTTGCTGAAAAAAGACACAAGCCTCAACCATCCAGATTTCAAGATCATCTATATTATTAATACGCAAAATCGCTGCGGGGGGTCCAAAACGGGCCAAAACGGTTCCTCAAAAACGTCTTTCCCCGACCGCGCCCGCCTCCGCCGGGGCGCGGGGACGGCGGCACAATTACACGAGGCCTGTCTCCCGTAACCCGCGTGCCACGTCGACCCCGCGATCGACGTCCATGCCGTTAAACGCGTTTTCGGGGTTCCGGGGAGGACGGGCGGACGAGAGCACGGTGGGCGTGGTGGATTGCAAGGAGGCGTCGAACCTGTGAGAGCGAGTCGGGAAGGCGTGCATCCGCCCTCTGTGCAATCAACAAAGAGACACACGGCGGACGAGAATCCACTTCTGTCAATGGGTGTAGCACATCACGTAGTAACGGGTGTGGCTTACCCCAAGTTTAGGCCTCTTGCTATAGGATACGCTTTGTAGCATGTAAGAGAAATACACATTAACAGATGACTCACCCGGGTGAGGGGATGTAAAAAATGCACGCTCTCACGGGTTGGGCTTACCCGTGTTATGCGTCTTTTTATATGACATGCTTTGTAGGCCAGCCGGGCCTGCTGCGTGTACGAACGTACGTGTATAATGTATGCGATGATTCTACGCTCACCGTTACACGCACAGCTCAGTCGCTTCGTCTTTGATTCTATGATGATTGCCGTGATTTATATATAGTTTACGTGAATAGAGGTATGCAAGCAGGGTTACTTTGGTATTATCCTGTTCATGTTTACTGAATTTTGAAAATCTTTCTTCAAAGCAAAGTTTTCACAAGAAATTCATCGTAACTGACAGTGCAGTTGCAAGCTAGCTGCCGTGAGGCACGGGCAGTGCAGTGCGCCACTGCTGCCGAGCACTGTCGGAACTGTGACTGTGTGTGAGGTGAGGTGAGCTGAGCTGAGCTATTATAGAGTAGACTCGACACCATTTTGAAATTGCTCTTATTGCCCCTATTTCAATATTGTTTCGTGACTATAGAGTATGAAACCTGAGCTTAGATTGTGATTATTCTGTCCATGTATAGTTGTATGCTGAATTTCGATAATCATTTTTCAAAGTAAAGTTTTCACAAGAAAATCAGACGGTCGTTTAAAAACATAGCCATTGGCATTGTCTATAGCTGGATAGAATACTATGATACAGTTCCTTCATCAAATCAATGCATTAAAACGGGTATTACGGTGCGCCATTCATGGTCAAACAGCGTTATAAAAATCGTCTAGATTCTAGGCCTAGACCTTATATAAAAATAATCAAATTTTATTTTCGATAGCACATAGGGTCTAGGCCTCTTTCTATTTACCTCCCCCCCCCCCTCCCCCTCCCCTGCCCTCCCCCTAGAATCCCGTGGATTTTCCACGGGTCCTGCTAGTTTATGTTTGATTACGGATTGTTCTGTTGATAATCAGATGACCCCTTAGCCTGACAACTGTAAGGTATTGCGTATCCCTTTCCTTCGGAACCAGATTTTTATGCTCAAAGTTAGCATCAGTAATTCTGTCCTTTAGCCTACTGAGTTTGTTAAGTTATTAGGAGTGTACTTACAGGCTGATATGAAATGGGATAGACAAGTTGAGAATGCTGTCAAACAGGCATCGCGATGTTTGTATATCCTTCGTGTTCTCAAAAAACGCAAGGCTCCTTTAGAGGATTTGGTTGCTATTTTTAGTATGTACATTAGACCGTTAGTTGTTGGCCTCACCAGTGTGGTCAACATATTACTGCCAATCAGTCGAACATGATCCAACGAGTCCAGAAAAGGACTTGCTTTATCATTTTGGGATATAATTTTATTGATTATCTTCATTCCCTTGAAGTTTTAGAGATTCCATACAATTGTTCACAAATTTGGTCACTCTTGCAATCAATGAAGGCAGTGAAGGTAATCAACGCTATGAAACTTGTATAAATCTA